GGGTCATCATCCGGATCACATATACAAACTAGACTCCATAAAAATAAACCAACAGCTTATTCATTCCCATTGAGGTCTTGGACATAGCCATTGAAGTGGTTCATTGTGTACAAGGCATATAGTTTTCTTGCCCTGTTTTGTTAGGTTATATATGTCATCAATAAGAGTGATCTGTCCAATATAAATTTAATGGAGTCTTGAAGCTATGCTAATGAAGTCAGGGTTTTGTATTTGAGGAAGTGGGTTGATAGGTTGTGAATTGAAAATTGGAAGTAACATTGTGTATGAATTGTGCACAGTGAGTTTTTAAATTATGTAGGGACGTTCTTCAAGATTGGATCAGTTAGGAGAGAATGAAGAAGCTTTCTCAGTGGTTAAGTTTATCCTCTTATAAATAAGAGGTTTCGGGTTCGATATTTCTCACACATATTAAAAGTCAGCCATCATTGTTCTTCAAGGAACACGCTCTTAAACTAGCTCAAATTGCACTGGTAAGATTTGAAGTTTTTCCATTCAAATTTGACTGAAATTTAAATGAATTCTAAAATTAAGTTCAAGTTTTGTTATTTATGTTATATGATGTTTTTCCAGCAAAGTTGATCTCGATTAATTGATTTTGAGTATAGGTCATATTTGCTGTAGCTTTTCAGTAACATAAATAGTTTCGTAATAGAATTTTCTATTAATAATTTTTGAGCAATTTAAAAAATAATTTATTATGATTTAGGGCGTTACATTTTACTTAAATTAAGTTTCAATGAACTCCAACATACATGTCAAAACATCTTATTTAAAGTTAAACTAAAATTCTCCAAAAAAACAAAAGCCTCAAGAAATATCTATGGTTAGTTTTTACACGTTAATTAGTGTATTGAGTCATATTTAAACCGAGCTCAAAAAATTAGAGAGCATAAAAATATGCTCACTTTTAACTTCTTTATCACATGAGTTAACCTACAACAATCGCCTAACGAATCAATCTCTAATTTAACTGCAGTATTANTGATAGGTTGTGAATTGAAAATTGGAAGTAACATTGTGTATGAATTGTGCACAGTGAATTTTTAAATTATGTAGGGACGTTCTTCAAGATTGGATAATTTAGGAGAGAATGATGAAGCTATCTCAGTGGTTAAGTTTATTCTCTTATAAATAAGAGGTTTCAGATTCGATATTTCTCATACATATTAAAAGTCAACCATCATTGTTCTTCAAGGAACACGCCCTTAAACTAGCTCAAATTGCACTGGTAAGATTTGAAGTTTTTCCATTCAAATTTGACTGAAATTTAAATGAATTCTAAAATTAAGTTCAAGTTTTGTTATTTATGTTATATGATGTTTTTCCAGCGAAGTTGATCTCGATTAATTTGATTTTGAGTATAGGTCATATTTGCTGTAGCTTTTCAGTAACATAAATAGTTTCGTAATAGAATTTTCTATTACTAATTTTTGAGCAATTTAAAAAATAATTTATTATGATTTAGGGTGTTACATTTTACTTAAATTAAGTTTCAATGAACTCCAACATACATGTCAAAACATCTTATTTAAAGTTAAACTAAAATTCTCCAAAAAACAAAAGCCTCAAGAAATATCTATGGTTAGTTTTTACACGTTAATTAGTGTATTGAGCCATATTTAAACCGAGCTCAAAAAATTAGAGAGCATAAAAATATGCTCACATTTAACTTCTTTATCACATGAGTTAACCTACAACAATTGCCTAACGAATCAATCTCTAATTTAACTGCAGTATTAGAGTCATTTTACAGTCCTGTTGGAAGAAAATTTTAGTAGTAGTGCTCTTTTTCTCTTGAGCAAATATACATTGTAGAATTATTGGAGACATTTTTCTTTTATTGTCTTTCCTTTGAGGTCCAATCAAAGTGGAACAGTCATGAATCAGCTGCATGTTAATTAGTATGCAATTTTGGGTCTTTATTGTTACATATGGAGAATATGTCAGACTTAAACATAAGCACACCAATTATGAGGGTCTTTATTGTTTTTTTGGGTGCTTTATTATAAGAGTCTTTCTATAACATTTCGATGGGTTCAGTTTTTAACACAGACTACATAGAACCTTTTCATAGATTCTCTCCTCAAAAACACTCACAACCACAATATTAACTGCAAGAAACAAAAAACACGCAGCAATATAAATCCAATAAATAACAAAAATGAGTAACAAAGCGTAATAAAAACTATCAGGAAAATTAACTTGTCTTCGTGCACACAAAGAGAGTCAAGAGAGCGTCAAGTGACTGAAAGAGGAGCCTTCTATCATCACTACACATATGTAATTTGCTATGCATCAATATGCAGTATTTGATAAAGACAAAGTAATGACATTACTCCAGAAAAGATTCATAATTATAGGTTAACAATAATTATTAGGACTGTCGCACACAAGTTTGGAATATACTTTTCAATTTCTCTCGTAACATAAACTCTATCATCAACTTCCAAGCATCATGAATTTGATGTCTTTCAAATTATTATAAACACTAACGCTTCCACATATAATGTTTTATAGTTTTGCTTTTTTGGACACAATAAAATTTTGATTTTTCAACTGTTCATGCTCTCAATTTATACAAAAAAATTAACCCTTTAAAAACTCTATCATCAATTTCTTCAAACGAGGTAACATAAAATTAGACCATCCACTAATATTGCCGCCAAGGTATAACTTACAATATTCTTCAAACATATTTGTTTTAGTAGGAACGCTATATATCGTTGATTTTTTCCAAGAGAATTCTTGTCGACATTTGATTACTATTATCGAGAAAGTATGACCCCAAGAAGTGATTATGTTTTAACAGTTATGAACTTGGCAAGGGTGGTCCATCACAAATTGAGGTTTAAAGTTATGATTTTAGAAACCCCGATCAATATTTTAGGAAGATAATAATAAATTTTTTATGATTATTAGACATTTTACATAGAACTGCGGTATGATTTAGTTCTAACATTTTAGTAGATTTAGAATTAGATAATAAATTGAGTACAATTGTGAAATTAAGATATTGAATAAATTGATTGAATTCTTAAAAAGAGAATAAGAGAGCTAGAGATAAAGACAAAGAGTTTGAGCAAATCAATGAAAATATGAGGGAAAAAATGACTTAGAGAGAGGCGGTGAGAATTGATGAAAAAAGTGCAAGGAAATTGAGAAGATTATTACTTTTAAAGTTAGAAATAGTTCCTTTTAAGTTTTTTAGAAGGTTTTTCTATATTTTAGAGCTTTTTACGAGACTTTACATAAATTTTTAAAAATATTATTATATTTTAGGACTTTCTATTTACACAGACTAGTGAAATTCATTGAGTCTTTAACTTTGTCCATTTAAAATGGTCTCATAATATGAAGTTGAATTAAAGTGCTGAAAATTAAATTGTGCACTTAAATTTTTGGTGCTCTAGGCAACTATTTTAATGGTCATGTCCTGGGGCTAGTTTTGCTATGCCTCATCCCATTCAAAGGATCGAAGTTTCTGCGCATCTCGCAATGATTATAGTTTCTACGCGTCCCTCACTCTCAATTGTTCGTCCATGAACCTAATTAGGTGAGACAAAATTGATCACTGGATATACAAGAATTAAAGGTAATATATGTATTAATTCATATTTTATGCATTTTTTTTATTTGTCAAAAATCATTTGTGGATTGTTACAAGGTAGTGTCATGGTAAGATATTCCATGTTATGGTGCCACATAATTTTTCTTTCTTTTTTTGGTAATTTAAGCATCTAGTATATATTAAATATTACATATGTGTTATTTCATGTTATCTGCGTGTAATTGTTCAATAGTTTAATCCATAACAATTGTGTGTATATAGATTATCCTAGTTAAGTGTACCTTTTTTAACAAACATATTCAGATATATGTTTGTCTCCCTCATCTTTTTAATGCCCTTTACTTCTCGAAATTTCTCAAATAGCCCATTAGGGATGACTTGATACAATTACAGGTTCATAAATGCAACTTTAAAAGAAGATTTTTTTTTAATATTAATTTAAAAAAATCCTCGCTTTTTGAGATGGTGATTATTAGTCAAGTTTTGCTATCAAGTTTTATACAAGTATCTTTTTAATTGATCACAAGACTAATCCACCCAATCTTTCTAATTTTATAACATTTATTCTTATTTTTTTTATCAGAAGATTTATTCTTGTTCATTTACCTAAATTTAACCTAAAATATTTCGTTATGTTGTGTTTATTACTATTGATAAATATATTTAAGAATATTATTACTATCTTGGAATTAAAAATGTTTCAAACTATAAAACCATAAGACTTATTGTTGTGGCTCACAAAGTTAAGATATGATACAATAATTCTCCCCTAACATCGCTTATTGTGGAAATAATATAAAGAATGAGTAGATTAATGATTTATGTTTTTAGTTACGCTAATGCTATTGGGACATTATTTAGACATATAAGTTGGGGACATAATATATTGTGACATAGTTGAGTGCATTTAATGCTAGACCCATTAATAATCTAATGACCACAATTATTATATTTCTAAATTATGTCCTAATAGCATTGTTTTTTTTATACACTCATAATAGATTAAAAAAAATGAGTGTGATTGAAAGGGAGAGATGGTGAAAATAAATAGTTTGATTTGTGTTTAAACTTTAAATAAAGACAAAAGTATAATTAGAGGGAGAAGTGTGTGTGTACGAGAAAGGGAAAATGACTAGTGATATCTAATGTATAATGTTTTTAACATGTTAATTAATATGCAATTTTTGGGTGATGGTAGAATACTACTCTTTCTTGTCTCTTACCCTTAGTTCTATATCCATGTGAGCAATGCAAACCTTTACCGTAACATAGAACGAAAATGAGGTTTAGTAATAAAATTTTGTATGAAACAATTGTAAACGTTGCTGTTTATTCTATCACTGTCTGATTTATTGATTTTATATCGTGTACTATGTTAAAACTTTTCAAGCTCTCCACGTTGAACTAATTTTCAACATCCAAAGACTTTCCTCCGAAGATAAATGAGTTTTAAAGAGAGCACTACAAAAAGCCTATCTTTTACTTCTTCAAGAAAATAGAAATAAGCGTCTCTCCATCGCTGCTTCACTATCAAAGTGCCACAGACTCCCCAAAATCCTAGGAAGAATCCCGATCCTATGCAAATTGAGAACAATATCTTTTCAAGTGCATCATCTGTTTCTCCTATACTCTCCCCAGCTGGAGCTTGAGGCGGGTCACTGCTAATGCACGCGATAGTTAGCGGAAACCCACAAAGTGCAACATTACCCACATAAATTGATGATGGATCTTCGAGGACTAGGAACTGATTGCCTGTTGGAATTTTACCAGACAAATTGTTATATGACAGGTTCAAGTGATTCAGAAAAGTCATAGAAGCCATGGTTGGTGGAATAGACCCTGAAAAGTTGTTCATTGAGAGGTCCAGAGTTTCTAACCATTCCAAGCTTCCGATATTTGCAGGTATGTTCCCTGTCATATGATTCATGGACAAATTCAAGGTGCCCAACCTTGTCAGGCTTGTTACTTCTTTAGGCATCTCTCCAGATATATTATTTCTCGAAATATCGAGGCTATTCACAAGGTAAAGTATAGAGAAATATTGAAGCATTCTTCCCTTGGCCATGACTTGCAATCGCCCCTCATACCTCACAGTTTCGGGTGTAACCTCAGTTTTGAAGCCAGTCAAGTTCCCTATACAGGGAGGAACTAATCCTGTCAGCTTATTCTGTGAAAGGTCCAATATGTGAAGGGCAGAGAGATAACATATACTTGCAGGTATGTTTCCAGCAAAGGAATTGTTCCGAACACGGAGAATTAATAACGATGTCATGCTTTCTCCTATCCAAGCTGGAAGCCTTCCAGATAGTTGATTGTCTCCAACATCAAGGCTGATCATCTCAGTGCAGTTTTTCAAGCCAGAAGGGAGTTCCCCTGAAAGATTGTTGCTAGAAAGTATTAAGAATCTGACGGATCTTAGAGAAGCAATTGAACTTGGAATCGTACCAGAAAGGCTATTGTTTGACATATCCACAATGTACAACAATGGCACATTGTTCCAAACATGTGGAATTTCTCCAGAAAGAAGATTATTCGAGATGACCAGAGTTGTCAAACCATTCAGATTACCTATGGACAAGGGAATGCTACCGTTTAGAGAGTTCCAAGAGATATCCAAGTCTGTCAGATTAGGCATTAATTCACCAATGTCAGGAGGAATTGGTCCAGAAAACAAGTTATCCCTTAGATATAGGGTACTCACATTAGATGACCAGAGAGGGAGAGGACCCTCAAAGAGGTTCGAGCTCAGATCGACATTGGAGGAGTCACTGAATTGTAATGGGTTGGGTACAGTGCCCCTTAATTGATTGTATGCAACGTCCAGTTCGTCGAGTTGCAAACCAAACTTCAGGAACCAGTCTGGTATGGTGTCTGAAATCCTTGCATTGTTGAGTACCACAGTGATCAGCTTATTTTGATTTCTGAGCCATGGAGGAAATCTGGGGCCCAATTGGCACGATCGAATTCTAATGTATATGAGTTTGAAAGGAGGAATCCAATCAGAATCGATGTTGAAAAACAAGGAAATATTTGGAGATTCTTTATAGAGTGATATCTCCTTTAAGCTCGAGAGATTCAAGAGATGAGCTTCTGTTATGACACCTTCCCATGAATTCTCAGAGATGTCCAACACAACCAAAGATGACAGTTGACCAAGCCTTGGAGGGATGTTTCCACTCATTTGGTTGTTTGAAAGGTACAATTCCTCCAAAGATGATAAGTTCCCTACCGTTTCTGGAATGGAACCGCTGAACAAGTTTTGCCGGAGTACAACATATCGCAAGTTTATAAGGTGGCCCATTGAATCGGGGAGACTGCCTGTCAATTCGTTGGACCCCAAATCCAACATCTCTAAGCTGTTATTTTTGCATCCAGATAATCCATTGATAACTTCAGATATTTCACCGGTAATCTTGTTAGTGGAAAGGTCCAGATTCCACAAGTTGCAGAGATTTTGCAATCCTCTCGATAACCGACCTTCAATGCCATTCTCAGATAGATCAAGGTTTTCAAGGGAAGTTAACTTGGAAAATGCATCAGGAAGTCCACCATGGATATTGTTGGAATTGAGATTAAGATATGCAAGGCTAGTGAGATTGAACAGCCAGTAAGGTATTGTGGAGTCGAAACCGTTGTTGGAGAGGTCAAGGACCAAAAGGGATGTAAGATTAACAAGTGGAAGAGAGATAGGAAGGTTGGATAGCTGACACAGGGGCAAATGCAACTCCACAAGAGAAGGAAACATATTCATAGTTGAAAGCCAAGAAGATGCAACCTTGCTAAGGTCTACACTTGCCAAATTAAGGTACTTCAAGGACTTAAAATTCGACAACCATTGCAAGTTATTCACCTTCAATCCGTCAACAGAAGACTCGAGGTTATCTTCGAGATCAAGATAACGCAAAGTCGAAAGATTTCCGAGATTTGGAGGGATCGTGCCACCGAAGGATGCACTTGAAAGATTGAGATACCTAAGTTTTGTCAGGGACCCGAGGAACTCCGGAATTCGGATTCCTCCAAAATTATTCATGCTGAGGTCCAAGTAGTTCAAATACTTTAAATTGAGTAAAGAAGGATTGATCTCGCCTCCCAATTCGTGAGTTGTTTGATCAATATCGTAGTTGTTTGGAAATGGGTTACGGAGTTTAAGCTTGATGACATGTCCAGTTTGGTTTTTGCAGCTCACTCCTCTCCATTTACAACAATCATCTCCAAACCAAGAAGAGAGTCGGCCTGAAGGATCTGTGAGGCCTTCTTTGAACTTGAGGAGAGCTTTCTTCTCAATCTCCTTGCAACCCACTTGAAGATCATCATTGCAGGAGCCAAGTTTAAAGGTCTCAAAGAACAAAAAACCCGAAAAGAGAACGAAAAGTAGAAGTTGAACAGAGCCACCTTCTGTGTCCATGCCTCGGAGAGTATATGTTTTTTGTTCTCTTAGCCTGGTTAGTAATATTCGTTTATTATGATCTGCCCTATTTATAAGTGGGCATGAGGGCCGCCCACCCAAGATGAACTTGGCCGTGGAATTGATGCTGACGAAGACTACAAGGACATGGTGTGGCGTTCTTGACATGCCTAATTGTGAACCTAGGGATTTATAGCGGGACTTGAGGTTGACAAGGACCTAAACTCTTTGAAATCTGCCCCCACCACCATTGTTGGGAATATTGCGGGTGGAAGTAGACCTTTCAAACCAGCAGACTATTTTACATGTCGCAATGGTCCTCCCCACCGAACACTGCAACGACTGACTTGTTGGCTACAAGTCATTGATCAGCTAAACTAGTTTACATGCATCCGGGAGATTTGTAAGGATAATACCATTTCTAATTTGTTGAGTTCATTCACGTTGGAATTGCACCGTAATTGTTTGGTATATCTTCAGACTGCGGGCATGCCAAAGTCCGAATAGACTAGTCTGTAGGGGCCGTATACTAAAGAGCCATAAACACTATCTTTTATGACATGAACAGTAAGATTGTGAAGGTATATATTGATGAAATCATAGACTTAAAATATAGAGAAACAATATCTCATCCAGTATTAACACTAACTACTAATTCAGTGGAAGAAGTGACTTAAATCAGATGATAGATCAAAATAATATTTTTCTCTTTTAGATACATTTGCTCCAAATTAAAACCTACTGTGAAAGGAGATTGATATTTCTCAGGGGAGACAGACAAGTCTCATTTACTAATAATGGGACGACTTTTTCCAACCTTCTTTTTCAATCAGGCTTCGTTTCTTTATTGTTTTTGATCAAGACATCCCTCAGCACTTTAATCCTCGAAGACCTATTCATACCTAGACTGACTTTTCGAACTTGAATTTCGCCGAAAATTACTCCACAATGGTCCACAAAGGTGAAGGGAGTTGTTCATGACCATAGGTGGGAAAGGAAGACGGAGGCAAACTTGGTTTGGCTAGTGTACGATCCACAACGACTTCCTGGGAAAAGCGATGGCATAACTAGAAGGCGGGTTAGACCAACTCTGCGTAATGGAAAAAGAGTACTTTGACTGTTAAAAATTATATATTTTTTATAAGCAATCATAATATTTTATGATCAATCGCAAGTTATAACTTAGACCCTAAAAATCGTATAAAGTTATATCTCCTTCAATACCATAAGACGTTCTTAACTGGAAATATTAAATTATTGATATTACTTATACAAGTATCTTTGCAAAAATACATTTTTTTTTCAAAATTAAAATTGATAAATCTTTTGTATCTTAAATAAATGACAAAGACAAATAATATTTATCTGAAAAATACAAAAGGCTTCATTTGAAGTTATCATTTCATGCCTTAAACTAGTTGAAGCCAAGCCGGCCGGCCGGCCCTGATACGTGGGAAAAGAACTGAAACTGCAAGAGCTAATTCAAAGAAGAGAGTTTGAATTTGATGTTAATCATGTGGACATAGATAGACTGCATACATATGCTTGTTCTTCTTGTCAGTTACTGCTATGACCGAAAGTTGACTCACTCAAAGAAATTCCTATTGTGAAACTGTTAAACATGTCTGGCATTATTTAATCCTTATCAATAATAGACCAAATACTAGTGTACAATGCACGGGATTCATAATCCTCCTTTTTCCTTCCAGTGGTTCACACAAACAGAAAGAAATGAGGAAGAAGTTCCATAGATGTGCAGGCATGTGATGTGAGTATAACCTGCAATGATTTGCCTACTCTCTGAGAAAAATGTTGGCTATAGGCTAAATGATCTATTTCATTTGAATATGATAATTTTCATTCAGCTTCTATAGAAATCAATATTCCCACAATCCACAGGAGAAGGAACGAATTTTATGAGTTCAATTTGTACTATGTCTGCACATGCAGGAAAGAAATATGGGAGAATTATACTAAGATCCCTTAAAATTTGTCACTTAATCACTCAGACCCCGTGACATTTAAAATATAACACACAGACTCTTTGAAGTTTGTACGCGCGTAACATTTAGACTCCTGATGTAAATATATTTATTAATAAATTATACTTAAACCCCTCTGAAGTTTGTAGGTATATAATATTTAGACTCTTAAATTTAAAATATTATACTTAGACCAAAAATATTTCATGACAAAAAAAAAGATCAAAAATACTTCAATCAAAGATAAAATATCAAATATTTTAAATTTTACAATTAAAATTCATGTTCTATTGTGTATTGAAATAAAATCAAAAATAAAAATTTAATTTTTTCATAAAAAATCGTAATTAGTATACAATTTTTTTGTAATTTCCGAAGGACTGGACTTTAATTGCAAATTATTTACTTATATTAGTAAAGATAAGGCGGTGGTCAGGGAAGTTGGATTCCGTTTGCTCTCTACCACTGGACAATTAAAATGCATACCATTTCAAAATTAGACAGAGCCTTCATCTGAGGCTTTGAGCACTAATTCACTTGTAAAGTTTTTTTGGGGGTAGCACTTGCAAAATCTATCTGGAAAATCCATAAGTTAGCTTTTTACCACCCTTATTCGAACTTAAGAAGAAGACAAAACTTTTTTTTTGACAAAAAAGAATCCTTTTCTTCTTCTTTTTCACTTTAAGAATTAAAGGATTAGACACAAATTTTATCTACAATTTATTTGGTCAAAAGGAAAACCCAGCAGCATGATTATGGAAACTAGCAATGTTATTGGGACATAATTTGAAGAATTAATGATTGTGACAATTAGATTATCAGTGGGTCCCATCATTAAATTATCGACGGATCCCAACACTATCAATCTAATCTAATGGTTATAATGTATTAAGTCCTCCCAATAGTATTAGTGTTATGGAAACATACATCAACTTTCCCTGGTCACTCAGTGAGAGGACTATCCAGCTTGTGAACTGGGTGTTTGAGCTCACAGTTGACAATTTCTAATATTTCATCAACAGAGTTGTATATTTGATTCTTGGTGTGTGTATTATTTAATAATATTCATAGCTTTAGGTCCACAACAACAGTTATTTTCTGAGGTGTCTGTTTAGATGGTCCCATAAGGCATAAACAATTATCCAAAAAACGATGGTCCCATAAGCAAAGAACTTTCATAGAACAGAAATTGTTTGTTTGTTTGTCAATTTTACAAGTTCTTCACCAGTCCACTTAAGAGAATCAAACAATGTACCTGAAAACTAATTTTTATGCAAGGAAAAACTAAAAATGGATTGAAAACTGTTATTCCAAGTCACCCACCGGTATCTTATGCTAATCAGACCAGTTTTAGATTTTTATCTCGACCATGTCCATCCCTGCCCTGACACACAATGTACAGAATTACTAATCAAGACTCTGAATGGAATGATCATCTGACAGGAGCCTAAATAAAAAAATAACCCTACATTGTTTATATCGGAACTATTCCCAAAGTAGGGAATTTAAAGTCCATTAGAGTCAACCTTGAAGGCACTTTTCAATGATGCTAGAGATACATGACATGTATTTGTAACCGTAACAAAATGAACGCAACAAAACAACAACAATTACAAAAATAGAAATCCCAATCCAGGGGGAAAAGGAGAGTAAATCACTATAAAACAAGTGTACCGAATTCATGAAACATACCAACAAACTCAAAATCATACACCCATAAGATTATGCAAGAAACAAAGACAGTTAAAATAAAATTAGCCAATGCAATTGAAACCGCTAAACTCTATCTAATCCATTTGGCATTTAGAACTGGAAATTCAATGGAGTGGAAAATTTTTACTCAATGCAAAGCAAAGAAAATCTGAGAGAGAAAAGAGATTGGACCTTGAAAGCATATCTAGAGAGAGAGGGGCCTGGCAATCATATTACAAACCCAGCTACCGACCGTTTCTACATCTGTCAGTGGCAGGAAGGGATGTATTGTGTGTGGTTACCGCCATTTGCGGAAACCAACCATCATCCATTCATAACATTACACAATATTACAAAAATTAACCATGTGGCTTTTTTTAGTAATTAAAAGCTCCTTTCATTCATTTTATTAAACTCCGTTCATTAGTTACCTGAATGTATAGCAGTTCACCTCTCCCCTGATCTTCATCATATGGCTCGACGTTCAACTCAAACACCCCTGATAAAACTATAAAGAAATCAATATGAAAACATCTTTATGAATCACAGATTGCACTAACTAAACCTCAAAGAGACATGAAAGAGATTTAACAATAAGAATAAAATGTAGGACAAAGAAACAAGCCTTGTTTCAGAAGTTCCACAGCAGCATTGGTGTTTGGAATTTGGACGATGAGCTGACGAAACAAGAGGTTGGGACAAATAAATTAACGAATATATTCAGTCAGAAATATAAATACATACATATATATGGAGGTCATCAAACTTTTAAAATCAGGAATATCGACTACGTTATGAGTACTCCCCTGAAATAGCCCAATCAGAGGATTGGTTGACGAACCAAAAACATCGAGCTTCCACCCCCACTGTAAAGGCTTAACATGTAATCAAAACCCTAATATTCGAATTAATTATGAATGCCAGAAGAGTAGCACAATCAAGTATACCAGCTACAAGTATCAAAGGTGAAATCAGNCTTTTTCACTTTAAGAATTAAAGGATTAGACACAAATTTTATCTACAATTTATTTGGTCAAAAGGAAAACCCAGCAGCATGATTATGGAAACTAGCAATGTTATTGGGACATAATTTGAAGAATTAATGATTGTGACAATTAGATTATCAGTGGGTCCCATNAGAGACACCAAGTGCGTGGGGTGGTGGGGTGCGTACGGTTGGAAGTGAGGGCAATTGAGGGCGCAACTTTTGGGGGATAGAGAGGTTGGGTTTGGATTTGATGGGAGAGAAAGTTGTGGCGGTGGTGGTGATGGTTGTGGGGGTGGAGGATGGAGTGGCAGGNATCATTAAATTATCGACGGATCCCAACACTATCAATCTAATCTAATGGTTATAATGTATTAAGTCCTCCCAATAGTATTAGTGTTATGGAAACATACATCAACTTTCCCTGGTCACTCAGTGAGAGGACTATCCAGCTTGTGAACTGGGTGTTTGAGCTCACAGTTGACAATTTCTAATATTTCATCAACAGAGTTGTATATTTGATTCTTGGTGTGTGTATTATTTAATAATATTCATAGCTTTAGGTCCACAACAACAGTTATTTTCTGAGGTGTCTGTTTAGATGGTCCCATAAGGCATAAACAATTATCCAAAAAACGATGGTCCCATAAGCAAAGAACTTTCATAGAACAGAAATTGTTTGTTTGTTTGTCAATTTT